AAATATGGTGGACGTTTATATAATACATCGCAAGGAAAACGTATGTATCCAAAACAAGGTTTACTTGGTTATAAAGTGTTAATTGATGGTTTTAATAATGCATTTGAAGTACCATTAGAACAACTTCGAAATTTACGATCTGGTGGTACGACAAAATCAGATCAAGATGATCATTATAATATTTTAGATAAAGAAGAACAAGAAAAAATAAATAAAATGAAAATATTTATTAAACATTTTGCATTAGATGAACGAAAACGTGCTAAACAAATAGCTGCAGAAAATCTTCAACAATCACGTCGTCCACCATTATTATTACCGCAAACAAAATCAAATCAAAATAAATCTTCGAAAAAAATTTCAAAATCTATTCCATCATCATTTGAATTTTCAAATAAACAAGGACAATTAAATAAAACAAATACAAATTTAAAAACATCTAAAATAATATTAGAAAATGACAATACATTAAGTACGAATATAATACCGTCAACATTAGTTAAACAACTAGAAAGTAAAATTTTTATTAAATTTTTATATTAGAAAAAAAAATCATCTTCTTTAATTAAGATAATCATATATTCAATGATAAAATTAAACATTTATCAAAAACATCAGATGAATCATTATCGTCTTCAGTCGAATCATCACCATCTTCTAGTATCGTCGATGATGAAGAAACATATGCTTTACCTATTATTGTTTCTCCGACGTTGAATGCACATAGATGTCATTCATCAGTCACAAGTAAATTAGAAACGGTTATTAATGTTAATAAGACAGATTTTCAAACAATAATGCCATCTGCTGATGCTTATGTATTATCAGCATCACGTATTGCTTTAGAAACTGAACAACGTAAAACAACTAAACGAAAAGAATTATTGACACAAATTGAACAATCGTTACAAAAACAACCACAACATCAATCAAAAGAATCAACAAAACCATTGTCAAACTCATATTCTAGTGAACGTAAAGCAATTGATATTGACACATATATTCCTTTACCTGAACGTTTAACAACACGACGTTCAAATGTATTAAAATCTCGTCGTGATCTTGAAATTCGTCAAGCTACTGTTCAATCTTATGAACGTTATGCTAGTGCAACAACACGATCAACAGCTATTCATTGTTTACAAGAAGCTGGTTATTTTAAAGGAAAATCATGGCTTAGACAAGTTGAAATAAGTAAAGAAATGATGAAACATAGCGTTAAAAGACGTATACGTCGTGCGAATAATGAAACAGACAATAAACCTATTTTATTACCTCTTCGTACGAACGTTATGATAACATCTGCTAGTACACATAGATCAGTTACAGTGAATTAAATTTTCATTTTTTCTTTTTTGATTTTTTTTTTCGGTTTATTTTTGAATAAATATTTTTAAAAAAGTGAATGATATATGATATGGACAAGGGTGTAAGATCTGGGTAGGTTATCATTAGATAGGTACCTTATTTTGTGTTCATCAAGCATTAAAATATTGAATTATGAGCATGTATGACAAACTAAAAGATATCATCAAAATACATTTTTGTTTTACCATTTTCTTTAAACTTACCCAATGCAGAACCAAGTTTTCTGCATGGTACTTTGAAAAGTTTCTTACGACATCGATTGCAACGAGCACAATCAAGATGGTAATAACGTGTATCATGTTTAAATACTTCTTCTTGATATGTTACAGGTCGTGTACATTTGTCACATATTGGTACACGACCTGCCTGATCGCATTGTACAAAAGTTACTTCACCATATGTATTTTCTAAATGTGGTGCATGTTCTTTGCCTTGATAAATGCCAGTGACATGTTTTGAACATGTTAAACATTCATATCGTCCATCTAACATATCGACGAAATTATGACCTAGATATTATTATTATGTTTTAATAAAAACAAAAATTTCAAAAAAAAAAATATATATAATTAAATAGTTACCATCGGGTATAATTGCAGTGCATTTGCAACAACTGAAACAGAAACAGAAAATAAATTAATCATTAAAATAAAAATCTTTTTACCGAAAACAATCACCATGATAATGACGATCTTTAAATCGTTTAGCTGCTGTACCCGATGGTATCTTTTGATTACACATACAGCAACTAAAATGAAAATATTTATTGTCAGACAAAAAATAATTTCTAATTTAAATTAAGATATTCTTTTATACATAGGAGCGAGTGCATTATTACATCGTTCACATTGAAATTGATTATTTGGTTTAGGATAAAATGGTTTTCCAGCTAATGAATTACCACATTGTGAGCAACAGAAACAATGTGGATGATAATATCTATCCTGATATATTTGCATAGCATCTCGTGGTGTAAAAATTTTTCGACATGCTTCACAATAAGTTTTTGTCAATGGACGATTTGCTGTTGGCCCACCCGACATGATTTCGGCCTTTATCGGAAGCGCAGACAACAATAATGAAACGATACGTAACAGAATAAGACGAAGCACAAAGAAATATGTTATGCCGATCTTTCTTCTTCTTATACCATCGTTTTTTATCTCACGGACGCGGCTTTATGGCCTTTCACACTTCTCGTTCTGATATTTTCTCCCCTCTTTCTGTAAAGTAGGATATGGAACTATATTGATGGTAATATTTGCCCCATAGTAGTTTTTGTTATTATTCTTTTTTCTTTCTTTCTATTCCCCGAAATAACTCAGTCTTTTTTTCCTGTGGTTGCTCACGATATTTATTGTTATCGTACTGATGTAATGCATATGTAGAACTATCATAAAAACAACGATAAATGTATACAATAGGTCATATGACAATTATCTATACATGAATAAATTCTGTTATCCTCTTTCGTTTTTATTACTGTTGACTATTAATCCCTAACCATAATGAATTCTGTTGCTATTCTTACTATGATTTAATCTCTCTTATTTTATATTGATTTATATTATGATATTAGATCAATCGATCGATGGATATTAACACAAATAATCGACAAGGTCATGGTTGTCATTTATCAAATGGATAGCAAAGATGATCCATGATTTTTCTTTCTCTGAACAGAATAGATAACTGCATAAGATAAAATAATACTTTTTATCGAAGGAAATGATCTAAGTTGATTAACGGTTATTAGATAAAAATAAGTGTTGACAAGGTTTTCATTTTCTTTCTATTGATACTTAAAAATCAATCGGAAAATTGGTGAAATGCTTTGCTACAATGATTATAGATTAAAGAGTAATAAATCTATTGTAAAGTTTATCTAATTGTTATATAAGTCAATGAATTCCATATAAAATTGATTAATGATCAATATATAACAATGTTTTTTAAATTATCAGTGAGTAGACTTTATTCCAAAAAAATGACCTTATATTATGCATGCAATCACTGTTTTCACAATCAATAAAATTCTGTGTGATCAACTTTCAATGTTACGAACAAGGTCATTATTTGATACGCGAGGAATTTATTGTCTTATTTCTTCAATTAATCCTGATACTCGTTCACATATGCTCTAGTGAAGACTAGTAAAGTATACTGATACTATCTGCTAGTTATGTCTCACTATTATTTATATAAGTAGATCATCACAAAGTACATGTGAACACTTGTTGATTACATGGGGTTAGGTTATATCCCACTGAGATTCATTGTTATATTATACATTCATAACATTGTATCGAACCATGTACTTTATCGAAAGTTATTATGTGAATATTGAATACTGAAGTATGATTTCAAACGTCTCGGAAATAGACAATAATAAGACTATGAAAAAACACTAGATAGATATAGTTCAAACTAACTACTGTTCTGTTTATTTTTCTTGTAATCAAGGTTTTTTCATGACCATGATAAAATAGTAATAACATTCTCTTTTATATTTTATAAGTTGGAGTTGGTACGAACTTTAGATAGACAAAAAACGATGGTCTTAGACGTGATTGTATTACGGTTAAAGAATTATCGTTTTTAAATTTATCACGTTGCATATTATTGATGACAGCAACCTACAGCTAAGACTTCAACAATATTAAGATCAGATCTCTTTGTTAGTCATCTGTGATCGTTTATAAAACGCATGAAATTCTATTCATACCATTCCATTAATTTCTTATTTGTATATATAGCATGGAGTTGTCTTGTTGATAGATAGAACCGGAGTCCAAGAGTTGTTTACTCTCAAATTACATATGTGAATAGATAACTTCAATATAATTTTCACGTGTTAATGATTTACCAGATTAGAATATCATTGGAGATGTAGGATTATTTCGAAATGCACTTAACAACATTCTAATTCTTTTTAGATACTTGACCGTTCAGTTAAGGTCATTTTGTTTGTGATATATTTTGTGTTTGAATAAAACATGTACTTACGAGAGAACTATCTGAACTGATACTCGCCGTTTGAGTTTATAGTAGATTCACAAGAAGGTCTTGAGAAGACCAAGAAAAAATCTTAAAAGTGTACGTGTCCATGAGTCTTCGCATCCGAGTTACGACCGTTTTACTGAAATTTTCAGTCGAAAAAAATGTTCGTTTAGCGAGATATCGAATTTTCAAGTAAGCTCGACTTTTGTGGCAGAAACGAACATTTTTTCGAAATTCAATATCTCAACAAAGAAACATTCTTTTCGACTGAAACTTTGAAGATATTCTGCGAGTCATCAAATCGAGATTCATGAGCATGAACCTTTTTAGGATTTTTCTATTTTTACCGATACCTACCTGTGTGCATCCAATATTAACTCATGTTCAACCATTATTATTTTTATTCTTGTATCAATCAGTAACGACATCTGGATACTAGAATTTGATTATTAGAAAGAACAACTAAATAAATAAAAACAAATAATGATTGCAATCCATTAAATAAATTAAGGATTGTAGATTGGATATTTTTTCATATTTATGATATATTGTTAAAGAATCATATCTCATTTATTGATTTTTTTTGTCTGTTTTTCTCTAGTAGATAATTGATCATCCATATCATTCCAAGAATGGTACTTGATATCGATTTATTTCGATCGGAAAAAGGTCATGATCCACAAATAATTCGAGATTCTCAAAAGAAACGTTATAAACGAGTTGAACTTGTTGATGATATTATTCAATATGATACACAATGGCGTACAGTTCGTTTTCAAGCTGATCAATGGAATAAAATGAAAAATCTTTGTGGACGTACAGTTGGTAATAAAAAGAAAGCAAAAGAAAATGAAGGCGATACAGAACAACTTCCGAAAGATTTTCAAATTAATCTTGAAACATTAAATGCTGATTTACTTTCAAAATTAACAGTAAAACAATTAATACATGTTAGTTCATTAATTGATACAGAAATTGAAATAACAAAAGAAAAATTAATTAAAATTGAAAATGATCGAAATTCAGCTTTATATGAAATAGGAAATATTGTTCATCATTCTGTACCTGTTAGCAATAATGAAGTATAAAAATAAAAATAAAAAATTGTATTGTATTTTTATTAAATTTTAATAGAATATTAAAATTTAGGATGATAATATAACAGAACGAACATTTGGTGATGTTGAAACACGAAAGAAATATTCACATTTTGATTTAATGTATATGATTGATGGTTACGATGGTGACCGAGGAGCATTAGTAGCTGGTTCTCGTGGTTATTTTATGAAGGTTAACAAAAAAAAATTATTTTTTTTTGTTTTTGTTTTGTTTGTATTTTATTCATTTATTCTTTCAGGGTCCTGCTGTATTTCTTGAACAGGCAATTATTCAATTAGCCTTACATATATTAAGTGAAAAAAATTTTGAAATACTTTATACACCATTTTTTATGCGAAAAGAAGTTATGCAAGAAGTTGCTCAATTAAGTCAATTTGATGAAGAACTTTATAAGGTATATTAAAACAAAAAAGAAAAAGAAACATATGTCATGTAAGATATATTTATATTAGGTTGTATGTAAAAATGATAAACCTGATGAACCAAGTGATGAAGAAAAATATTTAATTGCAACATCCGAACAATGTATTGCTGCTTTTCATCGGTTAGTAGTGTTTTTTTCTTTATTCTTGATTTTTGCATTACTCTTTCAATAAACTTTGATGTATTTTGTTTAGTGATGAATGGCTTGCATCGGAACGATTACCAATTCGTTATGGTGGTATTTCTACGTGTTTTCGACAAGAAGCTGGTTCTCATGGTCGTGATACACGTGGTATATTTCGTGTTCATCAATTTGAAAAGGTTTTAATACTTTTATTCTGTTGTTTTTTTTTTCAACATTCCTATTACTTTTTCTTTTGAAATATATTTAGGTTGAACAATTTTGTATTACTTCTCCACATGACAATGAATCATGGAAAATGTTTGATGAAATGATTGGAAATGCAGAAGAATTTAATAAAAAATTGGGTATTCCATATCGTATTGTTAATATTGTTTCTGGTTAGTAGAGAAAGAAAAAAGAATAATGAAAAGAGAAAAAAAAAAAGAAAAACATTTTAATTATGATTATAGGTGAATTAAATAATGCAGCAGCGAAAAAATTCGATTTAGAAGCATGGTTTCCTGGTTCCGGTAAATTTCGTGAACTTGTGTCTTGTTCAAATTGTCTTGAATATCAATCAAGACGATTAAAAATTCGTTATGGTCAAACGAAAAAACTCAATGAATCTGTATGTCATAATAATAGATCATACGTTATTATTTTTCTGTTTTTTTCAGTCTGAATATGTTCATATGTTAAATGCAACAATGTGCGCAACAACACGAACTATTTGTGCTATTCTTGAAAATTATCAAACTGATGATGGCATTCTCGTACCTGAAGTGCTCAAACCACTTATGCCTAAAAGTTTGTTTTTTTTTATTTAATTTATCATTGAAAATTTTCTTTTATTTTTAGAATATTCGGAAAAAATTCCATTTGTTAAAGAACCACCAGTTGAACAAGAATCAAAAACAACTGCTGGAGCTAAAAAGAAATAAAATCAAATCTACTTAGTTTAAGTATCAGACAAGAACGATTATCATAATAAAAAAAAAAAAAAGAAAAAAGAAGACTACAACAGAGAATAATATTAATCTTGTTTTTGTCTGTTGAATGAAAAGAAATCAAAAATAAAGAAAAATATAATGGTCTTCTCTATACTTTCTAATTGTTAATCAATAAGATCTAAATTATATATATAGACAACAAATGATGATTAAAACTAGATAGTATACAGCATAAGTCCGCCGCAGTGCGAGTCATATTTCCAAACCGAACTATTCGATCATGAGATTATAAAATTTTCACATTAATCAGAATGTCAAACATAAGAATAACCAATGAAAAGGAAGAAATTTATTGAATAAAAATAGGATAAATGTTAGGTGGAACTGTATCAAAACCTCCACCATTAAAAATTGGAATAAGAGTTGTTTCTGGTCCATCTTTGATACGAGTTATTGTTAATGTTTGTCTTTCTTGAAAATTTTTCTCATTAAAATCTAATTCCTTTGGTGTCCATGTAAAACAATCATTACATTGAGTTGGGTTCCATTGAATACGAACAGTATCATTTCCACTAATTCGATGTGGTGGAGTTATAAGCCAAATTTGAACTTTTGCACTTTGATTTAAAATTATTTTTGATGTTTGTGGATAATATAAAAGACCAAGCATAACATCTCGACAAACGGCAGACCAATTTTTAGGTATTGAATCAAAGAATTTATCATCTGGTTTTCCCATTGATATTACTTTATAATTTGTTATTACTTGCTTAACTGTCCACCCTTGACGAAGAACTTGAGTTAATCGAAAAGGAATTTGAGTATTCTTTTTAAAATAAATTTCTTCACATGGATAAGTTGCTCCACCATCAATTTGACATGTTACATTGGAATACCAATAATCTTCATCTTGAGAAGAACTATCTGAATGTATCATTTGATATTTAAATTGAATATAATTTCCAACTTTAAATGAAGTTCCATTAAGCCAATGTGATGGAAATGAATTAAATACATTTCCACCATATTTCCAATATGTTCCATACATACAACCAAGAGGTGGAGAATCTATTAATAATTGAACATAATATTTTGATTGTGGAGAATCAGATTCTGCATATGGAAAATGTTCCAAAACGTATGAAGTTTCGTGTCCTGTAGAACCATAAGGTAATGTTTTATATGCTCGTTGATTTATTTCATCGACTGCAATTATTGTTCGACCATTATCAGGAGAAAAAACAATTTGGGAAGGAAAATATGGTTGGTCACATTTTCCGAAATAATAACATAAAATAAATGATATTAAACACAAATATATTTTTAACATCTTAAATTAATAAAATGAATATTTATTTTTACGCAATTTTCTTCCAATTTACTGGAAAAACATAATGCTATATAAAATACAAATCATTAGAAATATTCGTAGAAAAGTTACACGTTTATTTTTCTGTTGTTCTCGAGCTATACATTCCTATAAGATGAATATTGTCAACTCAACTCTGAATCAGAAGTCACTCTTCGAATTTTAACAGAAAAAAAATGCAACTATCAGCCGTTAAAAAAATCAGATGCATCGAATAGGATAGAATTAGACAGTTGTTACATTCTCCTAATTACACAAAATATTATTTTCTTTGCCTTCTTCAATGACAATGTTATTTTGAAAAAAAAAACATCAATAAGCGCCAAATTGAAGAATGAACTAACTTATTATTTTTGTTTCATGACTGATTTAAGTCTTACCAGATAAAAAAGAATGATTATTTTCATCCATAAATGTGTTTCTGATATTATCTTCGAATACTTACATATATATATAATAGGTTTGATCGAATGTAAAAACGATTGCTTCATTTATTTGTCTTGTGACAAATTAAAAATAAATCTTGATAAAATGATGATGAGACAGAAAAGCATGTGATACTCTGCCTATTCTTTTCTCATATCACCTTTGTTAAAGTTATTACAAATAAAATCGGTCTTAGCTTGTTTTTTCCATACTTTGATCGAAAAAAAATTGTTTTTTTCTTCAAGTAATCGAGTAAAATGATCATATTTCAAAAACGAATGTTTTCTTTTCTAAATGACCTTATTTTGAAAAGTATGAATCGCAATGGTAAAGCGTAATCATCATTATAATGCATCTCTAGGTCGTTTTCATTGATGAATTTTTAACTTCGGACGAGTGAAGCTCACTGGCGGATCCACCATTGCGGCGATTCGGTGACCACCACTCCCTCTCAAATAGAAATGGCAACGAAGCCTTTTAAAATCTTTCTAATAAAGCTTCGCAAAGAAGAAATAAAACCTTAAAATCGAGATACTCACCAAACAGGACAAAGATCGGTTGTGTAAGCATGATTCCAATGCTCAGTATACCACTGTCTGATCATTAACAGGAGTAGATGCAAAATGAATATACATACTACTACTCCTATGCATTGATAAGTGATCAAGGGGAAAACGATGAGTTATGAGTTTAGGATTTAAAATGAGTTTAGTTGATTTTGTAAGTGAAAATGAGTGTGTATGATTTAAAGCAATCTAAATTATTCTCTTTCGTAGATGAATTTCAGGATCTATTATGATGTTTATCTTTTATACAAACAAATAATTTAACTCAACAAAATTTATATTAACTTCGTTTAGATTTGTTTTTCTATACTTGAGAGAGGTCCTTACTATCCTCATCACTGAAACGTTAAGTTAGAATACAAAAAAAGCAAAAGCGATAAATTTGAAAATAAGTTGGCTTTGCTTATGGTGAATGTTTTATATTAATATATATATACATCTAGAAATATCTTATAATCTTTCTTCTTCTACATATTTTTTTAATCCATGCATAAACTAGACGCGTACTAGTATCGGCGTGAATGAATCCAGCCATGGTGAATAATGTAATATCACAATTCTATTTGATAAAGAGATAAAAGATATATTATAACTAGGAGCGGTGCGAGAAGTTTGGGAAGGGACCTCCTCCTAGTTTGAGAAGTTTTGCTTGCGATTTTCTTCCGATTTGGAATAATTTAACGATAATGTTCTCCCAATTTGAAAGAAACTAATCCTAACGTTCTCCGAATTTAACAGTATTAAGTTGTAACTTTTTTTAAATTGAAGACCGTATGTGTTGGACTACCATTGATTTTCGTGAACACTCTTGATTTATTATGTTTTTATTTTGTTGAGAAAAGTTGTAATAAATCAATTTTTCTGTATTTTAGATATTCCGGCTTCACAACTGCTTTCGATTAACGATGGGAGCTCTTTCTTCTTGCAGTTTGATGAACTTCCGGAATTTCTATCTAACCTCGAAAAAATTCGGTTATACTTTCTTTCAATTTGTAAATACTTTACATAATACAACTATCTTATCAATGAAGTAGCAAAAGAAATTATCGAAAGTTGATCATTACATGCAACGAATCAAGACTCCTGTGGAAAAACTTGCGTTTTTTGACAACAAAGTTCACTTTTATTTGCTTAACTTTCTCAGACAGTGGAGTTGACCCATGTACCTTAAAATGATTGAGAAAAACAACTTGATTGCAAGTGTTTGGTTTTTAACTTTTTCAGCTTCGTTCTGGAAAAATATGTCTGCTACAAAAATTGTAGTTCACATATTGTTCTTTCTAACAACAAGAATTTGATTAATTCAAAAGTCGGCAATATGATCTTAGAGGGTTTGACATTCTCCAAAGACTTTTGCACGGCTTATTATCTTTGGGAGTATTTCTCTTTGAGTCAAAACATTAGAAAACGAATCTCTTAAAACAAAAAAGATTGTTGCCTTTTGGTTTTTGCTGTTTTCCTGTCCGAATAACTTCACGTGGAATCAAAGTAAAACAATACTCAAGAACTGTGAACTTGAACTACCTGATAGTGTCTTTAAAAAGCACTATAATTAATTTGATAATTCTTAGAACTAAACAATCTTTTAATAGAGTGTTAATAAAAATATTTCGATGCTTGAACTATTGAAAAGTCAAAATTGAAAGATATGATTGTGATTTCAGTTTTTGATAGACAACGTACTAAGTAATTCTAAATGTTGACGAGATTCTTTTGACATTTCCATATGATTATCATCATTACTTTTTAATTTCATTTATTAAAGATTTCAAATATTTGAAGCATAGTATTTTGCTAAGATAAGTAACAAAACTATTCGATAAATATTATTAAAAATATACTATTCACAGGTTAAAAGATAAGGAAAACAACAATGAGACTATCAATCAACAATTAAATAGAGAGTGGGCGTGGATATAAAGAAAAGATCGTGTCCATACCCACTCCACACCTTTTAATCAGTCAAGCACTTACTTAGCGAGAAGAATTCGTATCTGTAAAGAAACAAGATATCAGAAATCGAAAATAGTCCAGTTTCATCATATATCGAGATGATGAATGAACAGATCTCAGTACTTCTCAACTAACTTAGACTGATCAGTAAAAAACATATTGTCGACAAAGTCATAGGTTTTAGCTGATGGCTCATTTGAGCTCCCATCATCGATTAGAATTTGTTGTTTTGAGTGCGAGGAAGTTGAAGTCTTATCAGCTCCAGTCATAGTTCTTCTGTTGCTGATAGCACGATGGTAAACAAGGACATCAATTATTTTAGTCATTTTTAGAAAAGTCTTCGTAATATGGAATTCTCAAAGTTGGAACACTTTGTTTTTCTTGTTCAGATGACTTACTGCAATTATATCTGCATGAACAACATAGGAATATGGAAGTTCAAAGAAGGGATATCTTCGACAGTGTACATTTGAATGATTTTGAGCTAAACAAGAAATTAGCAAGAGTAGTATGCCACTCATTCGCCTTCGTCAAATTACATGGGATTGGTACATCTATGGTTTTAACGACTATCTTACGGTAGTACTTGCTTGCCGTTAAGGACCAACTCAGAATGATGCTGTAACATCTTAAGAAGACTTGCAGGTTTCACTTGCAGCTCTTCAAGTTTTGTCTAGCTTTAATGTGTGGGTTTTCGCGATCTTTGAAGTTCTTAGTTAATGTGTTTATCTCAGTATATGTAAAACCGTCCTTTCAACGGTTTTTAATATATCCTCAAGTATTAGTCTGAACAAAACCAAGTAAGACAATGTTATTGCCTGGTATTTTATGCAAATGTGCGAATATCTTTCAGCCTGATGTTGTACATTGAAATAGTGTTTATTATGATTGATAGATATAATTCGGTTTAGGTTGAATTATATTTTCATGGATATATACTAACACGAGAAATGATTGCATTTTTGATTTTATCGAAAAAAATTGTCAAATTTTCTGAAACTATGCTAAATCATTTTTTCTGAGCTGAGTTTATGGTGATGCATTTAGTTAAAGGATAGGAGTGTTAAAATTCTAGTAATTATGCGAGAGATGTTGTCTATAATTCTTGATAACATACAGTAATTGGTCGTCAAATATGACTGATATGCATGCTAGGATATCTTGTTGCAAGGATCAAATGTTGCAATATATTTGTGTATCACTATTTAATTTGTAGAAACTAATGATGAATGGTGAAGAGAAATGCTAAGGAAATATTATAGTCTCTAAAACAAATCCAATACTGATTCAAGCAGAATTGATATATTTACAAAATCTACAAAACTTATTCTCTATCATGCTGAAGAAATATTTTTATCTAAGCACTTTAGATTCTCTCAACGCAATAGAAACTTGGATATAACCACGAATGCTTCGTATGTCTCTTGAAAATGTTTTTGTTTGGTTATTTAATTGAGCAGTTTTAGGCAACATTTCTTCTGATGTGTTTGTAGAGAAAGTTTTGTAGGATTTGTGAGTGTATCAATTCTTCTTCAAGCAGCATTGAATTTATTTTAGAGACTATAGTATTTTCTTATTATTTTTCTTCATTGTTCATCACTGCTTCCTAAAAAATTAATTAGTGATACACAAATATATTGCATTATAAAATACGGCTACATTTTGTTCATAACGATTTGTTCCTCCGACTACTATCATGAAACGTCCATGTGATTATTTTATTGTAACACATAATCAACTACCAAATGTCTCTGGTGATTTATCACACAACAAAAGCTTGATCACCACTGGTATCATCCTGTGACAGTAGCACGTAAAAAGTGGCAGGCATCACATTCAGGTAGTTCTTGAAACGTTACGATTATGCCTTTATTTGCGATCATGCTCACAAAGTGCGACGAATGCAGTTAAAGATATGCGCATTTTTTTTCTCTGTTTATCATTTGAAAAATAATTGTTTATTTGCGAATATAAAAACAAGGACGAAGCAGAAAAGAATACGAAGTTTAATCATGG